GAACTCATATCTCCTTGACTCCAAGTCCAGCAATCTACGAACTATGCCACCTAGATGCCCTAAAGTGAGTTAACTTCTCTTGGCCTCAGTTTCCTCCTCTAGATGATTTCCAAAGATCCTTCTAGCTCTAAATACTATAATCCTATGACTTCTGCCATCAAATGGCATATCTCCCTCCCTCCCACTCCCATCCAGCTCCCATGGACCTCTCTGTGTCCTAGAAGGGTCCCTCTGTCCAAGGTCTCCCTTGGATTTGGGCTCTGGGCCCCAGCCACCAGATCTGTGGCCTCTCCCCACAGCCTGCCACATGAAAAACAGGAACTTGGAGGCATGACTTATTTCAGATAAACAATCAGACTTCAGCAACACCCTCTCACCCAGAACTGGGAAAGGCGAGAGCCCGAAGGCCCCTCGCATCCCTGGAGCAGCCAGACTTAAGTGGATGTAAGTGGTACCCTGGGCAGAGGCAGGAAGGAGCTTCTGGCTTAGCGGGACACAGAGAAGCCAGCCACTTGCAGGGGAATAGATGGCAGTCAGGGGAGCCCTGGGCCACCCCCCTTGCAATTCATGCATCAGCCAAATGGCACGTATATTAAAGCGACCAGGACAGGCGCTATTGATGGAGCTCTGTTTCTAGGAGTCCCAGGTGTGGCCACCTGGAGGCCCATGTAGCAGAGAGGGATGATAAAAGGATATGAGTGTTTGAAAAGACACCGAGGACTAGCCATAAATTCTAATAATCCATATTTCTCACAAGGAATAGCTATTGACTCCAAAACAAAGAAGCCAGCGTCATAATGTAACGAGCGTCAGGTGGGAGTAAGAGCCACAGGAATTCAATTTGCCTTTGCCGTAGATCAACAGGCCATGGAAGGCGTGAGCAGTGATGGAGAGAGGTGTGTGCTCGCTTAACGGTGAAGCCTGGTCATGCTGGATGAACGGGGGAGGGAACCTAGCATAACCTAGGAAGAGACTGACCCCAGACCTTCTGCCCCAGTGCTTGCTAATGAAGAGTCGGGGCTGAGAAGGGGACCAGGCCATGGACTAGCCCCCTAAACCCCAAAGAGAAGCAGGATGGATCGGGCCCAACCTGATGGCGTATGTCATCCTTTCTGGGATACTTCATTCTAGGAGTCGCACAGACGAGGGCAGAGGAGACCCCAAAAAGCAGACCTGATACAACACTAGGGCCATCATAGTTTTTACTCCTATGACCTTTTCATTTAAAGAGGTGGATGAAGCTAGAAGTACTACACTCAGGTGTTCGACTTGTTACCCAGAATCCCAGAAATTCCAAAGTAGAAAGGCTCTCAGCACACATTTGTATAGTGCTTTAAGGTTTGCAGAAGGTTTTATATGTTTCTTCATTTTATCCTCGCAACATCTTTGTTAGATGGTGTTATTATCCCCATTTTACAGATGGGGAAACTGAGGCTGAGAGAGATTAAGTGACTTGTCCAGTGTCACACAGCTAGCAAGTGTCTGTGATGCAGGATTTGAACTCAGGGCTTTCTGACATGCCATCTACTATACCACCTAGCTGCAGAATCTCTTCTACTACATCCCCAACAGGTGTTTATTTAGGCTCTTCTGAAAGAGTTCCAGTGATGGGGAGCTCACTACTTTCATGATCATTCATACTACTTTGACATTTACTACTTGTGTGACCAGGGCAAGTTATTTAAACTTCTTGGGCCTGTGTTTCCTTAGAAGGAAGAGGTTAGACCACACAGCCTTCACTGTACTCAGGTTATTAGGAAGGTTTTTGTTTCTTCCTCCTGATGAACCAAACCTGCTTCTCTCTAACCTTGGTTTCCTAGGCTTTAGAGATGGAAGGGACCCAGAGGGTATCTCACAGTGGTACAGTGGGAAAGTGCTGGGCTCAGAATCAGACGACTTGACCTTGAATTGGCCCTGTCACTCATGACCTGTGTTCTCTCTAGGCTTGGGATTCTTCCCCTGTAAAAAGAGGGGATTAGACAAGATGAGCTCGGGGCTCCTAACTCTGTGATTGGCCTTTGATGTCGCCCTGCCTCCTCTCACTCCACTGCACCCCTATGCAGACCCCAAATTCCTAAGAAAGACTGGTGAACCCTAGCCCCATAAGGATGTCCATAGCACTGACAGTCATGTGTATTTTAAAAAAAAATCAATTCTCCTTTTTAGTGATCATTTTGGGGGCTGGCAGAACTCCTGTGCCCTCCTGACTAGCCCACCAATCTGTGGGTGTGGCTCAGCCACTTGAGAAGACCCATGCAAAGTCTGCCAACAAGATCTCTTGCCTCCGCTGAGGGACCAAATAAATGAATGAAGCAGGGGAAAGAAAACACTTTAAAGCTTGGACTTGAATTTGGAACCAGAGGACCCTGGTCTGAGTCCCTGCTTCGTAGCTGGTGACCAGCGTGAGTCTGGGTGAATCCCTTTCCCCTCTCTGATCTGCAATTTCCTCATCTGACAAATGAAGGGCTTGGGGTGGCCCATCTTGAAGTTGCCAGTTAGTTCACCTATCATGTTCTGAAGTCCCAAGCCGTTCCCACCTCTGTGCTCCAAGTGCTAATGCTTTCTTCCAGCTTGATAATCTCAGTTCTCAGGTCCTTTCCAGCTCTGCCATTCTGAGTTCTTCACTCCGAGACCCCTTCTGGCTCTGACAGTCTATGTTCCAAATTCCTTTGTAGCTTTAACATTCTAGGTTTGAAGTTCTAAATTTCTATTTCTGACGGTCTAAATTCCCTGCTCTGTGTTTTTTTCCTTTAGCTGGGGTGTTCAGGGAGGACGAGCACCTCTGGAGTTAGGGCCACCAAGCCCATTTCAGGGCTGCTCATTTGTCTTTGGTGTCCATCGGCCACCCAGCTTTAACCTTCAGCTGCAAGAATCTGCAGATGTGCAGTGGCCACACCCTGGTAGACTGTCTCGTCAGATGGGCTAAACTAGGTTGAGGATCACTGACAGGCCTCAAAACAATCAGTGAGTTAAGGAAATGTGTACTCCAAGCATGTGAAAACTTCCCCTGGTAGAATGGGTAGATGAAAACAAAGACTGTGAAGGTGGCTGAAGCAGGCTCTGTGGAGTGCTTAGAGCTTGGTCAGACATTGAAGATGCCAAGGTCATCCACCGCATCCCGGACCATCACCAGCCATCTTGACTCGTCTTGCCACTGGACTTCTGTGACTCTAGAAGAGAGAGTGAGGTTGATGACTTTATGCAACTCTGCCTCACTTAAATCCAATTCACTCACAAGTAAAGACATCACCTTGTGACATCATCAGTCCTCTTCGAAAACTTGAAGGATTTGAAAATGCTCCGTGGTGAGTTCTAAGGCCCCTGACATCTCTGACATTCCAAATTCTCTGTTCCAAGGCCCCTCTCAGCTTTGACATTCTCTGATTCAGCCTCCACTACTGACGTCTTAACAGCTGTTCCTGAAACTGAAAAATAAAAGTTATCGGGATTTCAGCCCCTCCCTCTTCTTTAAATGATTTGACGTTTTATTTCCCCCCATCAAACTCTCTCTTCCCCGCTAATGGCAGAATAATAAAAAAAAATTATCCGGCCCAACATGTGAGTGAAAGCCTGAAACAAGAACCCCCAAGGGGAAGGAAGGGTAGGGAGAAAAGGTTATTATGAATGTGTCAGCCTTGTTTATAGCCCTTTATCAGCGAGAAAGAGCCAGGGAGAGGGAGAGCCCTGCCGTTAGCTTGCAGTTAAAAACTGTTTGGCAGCTTCGCTGGGGAATGTAAATAATTTTTATATTCAAGTTGCATTTATATTTTAAAAAATATACACCCATCACCCCTGATGCTGAACTGGGAAGAGCCTGCTGGAGTAGGTTTGCCTTTTGGCTGTCCTTAATTGGACCATGTATGGTAATTAGGGCTTCCTTAAGCAACATTTACCAATAGAGACTTTTGCAAGGGAGCAAGCAAAGAGAGCCTGGTGCATCTCGGTTTTCACTGAACCATCGGCAGCAGCAGCAGAGAGAAACATTCACTGGCCAGGGTCAGGCTGCCAGCTCTCTGGCTCGCTGTAGGGCTAATCTAATGGAGTGGCATCCAGGAACTGGGCTGTTCGTCATTTTCTCCCCAGCTGAGACCCAGCACTCCCAAAGACATGCACACACACACACACACACACACACACACACACACACACACGGGTGCACCTATGCTGTTTGCCCAGGCTGCTGCCCTGGCCCAAAGTGGGGGCTGTGCTTTTGATTTACTTCATTAACTTGGATACTTGGAGGAAAGCAGGTGGAGAGGGCATCACGGGTGGGTGAAAGGGCCTGAGCAAGGGGGTTGGAATGATGTTGGTGTAGGGAGTAGGGCATAGTGAGGTGATAGGCTGATGGGAGGGGAGGATGTGCTAGGTATCTTGGGGCAGTCCCCAAAACCATATATGGTTTTAATATTAATACTCCTGCTTCTGGTTTCCACCTCCAGGAAGGCATCCATGGATGGGTCTTAGATCATTGAGGCTTAGAGCCAGGTCTGGAAGGGATCTCGGAGGTCCAATCTTCCTCCCTCTTCCCCACTAAGGAATTTCATCTCTGGTCTCTCTTGCAGAGAGAAATCCAAGCTGTCCTTTAAAGGCTCCATGGATTGGGAGCTAATCCCAATGCAGGCACTCAGATAGTGGCCCTAGATTTGCCTTTCTTGTACTGCAAACAATGGGCATTTTGTTTTGAAGGTCTGCAAAGTATTTTGCAGTCATTGGAGTCTTACAAGAACTCTATGAGGCAAATGTTATGGGAATTATTAGCTGGATTTTAAAGATGAGGAAATGGAGCCTCAGAGAGGCCAAGTGATTTCCCTATGGTCACAGAGCCTTATTTGGGAGCCTGACCAGAGTCTGGTTCTTTCTAACTCCAAGTCTAGGACTACAGCCAATAGGGTACGTGGGCCAAGGGGTGGGGTTGGGGAAGGAACGTAATGGAAATTTTTCATAAAATAATAGACTTTCAAATCTGGAAGGGTCCTCAGCAGTCATTGAGACCCACTTATATCTGAGTAGGCAGAGGCAGATCCAGCACAGGGCAATCAAGACGTGCCCCAGATGCTGATATCCTAAAAGGTAAGATTTTACCCCCAGCAATGTGCTTCCTGCCCTCCACCTCTTCTTGACATCAGCCTTTCTGGCCTGTTCTACCCCCCCAGGACTTCATGGACCCCCCACCTTATCTTCCCCTGAGTGTGGATGTGGCATTCCCCCCCCCCCCCCACAACCCCCGCCCCCGCCCCCCTCCCCCCCCCCCCCCCCCCGCTCCTGAACCCATTGAGACTTTCTGCTGTTGTAGCACTAGAGGAAGTTGGATGGATTTGGACTCACGGGCCCCGAATGTGAGTCTTAGCTCTACCACTTTCTGCCTATATGTCCTTGAACCAGTTGCTTTTCCTTTCTGGGCCTCAGTTTCCTTTCTTCTGTAACTCACCTTTCTCCTGTAGACATCTCATCTTTAGGTAACCCTTTCCAAGCCTGGCTGGCTGCTCTTTCGTCCACACCTGCAGACACACTGGAGGAGGAGATCTTCTGTTCTGCTTGCAGACCTTCCCCCAATACCATCATGCAACAATCACTTTCCTCCTGTGAAGTCCACTCCAGGCTCTCCTGAACCTTGTTGTCATCTGTGGGCTCCCAAGTCATCTGCTTCCCTCAATAAATTCAGAACCTGACTCACATTTTTCTTCTGTACCCCACCCTTACCCTCCTTGGAACATCCTGATTCCCCACTTTCTCAACCTCTTCAACCTCAAATCTACCTCCTTTAGGCTCCCCCCCCCACTCCTCATCCTTCCTTATCATCATCCCCTAGGTTGCAAAGTAGATACATTGCTTCACTTGGAGTCAGGAAGACTTGAGTTCAAATCCTGCTTCAACTTTTTGAAAGGCTCTCTGAAGAGAACTTAGAATTATTTTGCTTGATCCAAGTTTAGAATTTCGCATTTATTTCTTGATTTCAATTCAATAAACATTTATTGAGACCCTGAGGCAAAACTCCTATCTCCCTATCCTACTCATTGCTCTAGTTAGATTATACGGCCTCTAAGGCCCCTTTCACTTCTGAAATTCAGTTATCCTTAATATTTCAAGGTAATGTGTTCTAACGGTCATTGACTAGTTCAGCCCAGAAGGCCCATAGGTGTTGAAAAGAGAGAGACGGCAGTAGGCTGGGGAGGGCTGGGAAAGCTTCTTGGAGATGTATCCTTCTAGCTAACATTTTAGCAAGCTTGGTAACGGTGCCCAGTGAAGGATCATCCAGTCTTTGGTTCTTATAATCCTAGCCCCAGAGTTGGAAGGGTCATCAAAGGCCCTCTAGTCTACCCCCTCATTTTACAGATGAAAAAACAGAGTCCATGTCATGAGGGAAAGTGCCTTGATCAAGGTCACACAGATGGCAAACATCAGAAATGGGATTTGAGCCTTGGACTTCTGACTTCAGAACTCTTGCCACAGTACCATACACCTCCCCTCTGATGGCGATGGTCTGAGTCATGAGGGGCTAAACACTAAAGTAAAGAAAAGAGCATGGTTAGAACATGAGCAGAGCAGGTCAAATTTAGTCTAAGGGTTCCAGGTCATCTAGGGAATCTATAAGATCATTGTGGTCCCATTTTTTGGACCCTATGGTCCTAGTCACCAAGAGAGGTTTGTGGTACTAGTTGTTCTGAGAGTCATTTGAGACCTTCTGCTGCCATTTTAAGGGGTGACATTTTAGAACCCCCGACCCTCATCTTGGCAACCCTTCTCAACCCTTCCCATGCTTTCCTGAGCATTTCATATTTGATTTTTTAAAACAGCATGATAATATTCAATGACGTTCAAGTACCACAATTCATTTAATTATTTTCAAGTCTACGGACAGCCACTTTGCTCTTTTTCTATGCTATGACAAAAAGCCTTGCTTATGAATATTTTTGTTTATAAGGGATCTCGGTACCTGCCTACCAAGCAAAAAATTCAAATGTAGCCACCCCCACCCTGCCAAGTTAAAGGCCCCTTACACATGCAGTTTCCACTTCTTGAAATCCTTCAGTTCCTCCTCACCTGGGGAAACTACAGTTCCCAGCAGCCACAGCTACCAATATGGGGCTGCACTTAATATTTTCCCCACAACAATTCTGAGGTGTAGTCAGTGTGAGTTTTTGCTATTCTTCTCCTTCTTTTTTACAGATGTGAAAACTGAGGCTAAGAGAGTTTAAGTGACCTGCCCAGGGCCACATAGCTAGTAGTATGAGCTAATACTCCAGCCTGGCTCTCATATCTCTCCACTCCACGCTGTTCTTCTACATATGGCACCCTTGAGCCTGAACTAGCTCTGGGAAAGAAATTGGCTGATGCTTAGGCGCTAATACAACCTGAGAACCTCATCACACAAGCCATTTTCTGGCGTATTAATATTCATTTTCTACTAATGTGGGATGAATACGCTTAAGTGTTCGGCCAGGGTCCATTCGTCATTTTTATGTCACGCTTGCTGAATGCATCCGCGTGATGTATCGTGTATTTTTACATCACGCCAGACAATGCCATGCATTATTTCACCAGGACACCCAGGCCTAGGCGAGCCAGGCATCAGCTGCTGGCAGACATAGAGCATGCTCAGGGAGACAGAAATAAATTACAATATATTAATAGGGAGTGAATGCCATAGTTTGAATAAATTACAGGCAGCCGGCAAACTTTTCAGTGGCTTGTCATATGTTTATTAGGTTTTCCCCTTATTTTTCTTTATTCCCTCCCTTCTTGGGTGACTGTGGTGGGAATGAGGACCTAAATTTAGTCTTAGTTCAGTGAAAAATTTGAGAATTCAACTTCAAAGAAACAACACATGAAAGGCAGGGGGCCGGTGCTTACAGCCAAACCTCAGACTCAGTTCATGCTGTTGGCAACTCCTTTTATAGCTCATGCCTGTCTGCGGCTCTGTCGCCAGCAAGCCTTGCGGGGCTCAGGAAAAGAGAGGTAGTGGGGGGAAGCCACCACTCACATGGCTCAACTGGAATCTCACTCTCTGATTTGCACCAGCCCACCCTCAAACTCTGTGAAAGCTGGAGAGTTGATACTATGCAAACCAGCACCATGGGTCTTTCATTGCTGGTGATTCTGATTCTCTTTCCACCACCCCTGGCTGGGTATTTATTGCCAAATGGGGATTTTCTCTATGTATAGGGAGTGAAGGAAGTTTCATATATATATATTATAACACCAAGGAAATTTGGGAATGGAGAGAGTCAGACTTGGGAGCCAAAGCCTAGAGCCAGTCTAATCTGTTAATGTTAATCTAATTAATGTTAATGAATCTTTATGACTGATGACAACCTACTGCTTATGCCACAAAGAAGCCTGAGGAACTCAGACATGTAGAGGAGGCAGATTGTAAGTCATCATCTACACAGTACAGCTGTGGCTTCACCTTCATGGTAGGATGACCATAGCCTAGAAACAGAGAGGTTAATACTTAGATTCTATCCCTCTTCTCCACCTTTTCCTTTGTTTGTTATCTTTCCCTATCTGATTGCAATTTCCTTGATTGTCTATCTTATTTGTACCCTAAGTCTTAGCTTCCTGTCACACTGTAGGGGCTTAATAAATGCTAATTGACTGACTATACAAAGCAGCCCTAAGCAGTCTTTCAAGTTTAGGTGATTTTGATTGAGCCTTTCTGAGTCCCTTTCTTGTTATTTACTTTAAAAAACTTTCAAAAAATAAATTAATTTAAACATTTATTAAAAATATTCTCTCTTTCCTTTCTCAGCCCCACAACTCTACCAACAGCGCATTAGTGTCCCTATGTTTCCACGTTTCTTCCAGCATCTGTCATTTTCCTTGTCTGTCAGGTTAGCCAATCTAATAGGTGTGAGGTGGTACGTAAGAGTTATTTTAGTTTGCATTTCTCTAATCTTTAGTGATTTAGAGCATTTTTATGTGGTTATTGATAGATTTGATTTCTTCTTCTGAAAACTGCCTCTTCATATCCTTTGACTAATTACCAATTGAAGAATACCTCTTATTTTTATAAAATTGGCTCAATTCCCTGTATATTTGAGAAATGAGCCCTTTATCAGAAAAAAATTTGCTGTAAAATTTCCCCCTAGTTTCCTGTTTTCCTTCTAATTTTGGCTATGCTGGTTTTGTTTACACAAAACTTTTAAATTTCCCGTAACCAGAATTATCCATTTTATTTCCTGTGATTCTCTCCATCTCTTGTTTGCTCATAAACTTTTCCCTTATCCAAAAATATGACAGGTAACTCTTTCCATGCTCCCTCAATTTGCTTATATCTCCCTGTATGTCTAATTCATGTCCCCATTTTGAGCTTACCTTGGTGTCTAGGCCTAGTTTCTAGAAGACTTTTCCATTTTCCCCAGAAATTTTTGTCAAATAGTGAGTTTTTGCCCCCAAAGCTTAGATCTTTGGATTTATCAAACCCAACTACCATCTTAATTTACTACTGTGTATTATGTACCTAATCTATTCTACTGATCCACCACTCTATTTCTTAGCTAATACCAGATTATTTTGATTATTATTGCTTTGTAATATAGTTTGAAATCTGGTACTGCTAGGCTGACCCTGGGCAAAGTCACTTAATCTCTGATTGCCTGACAGAATGGGCCCATTGGATCCACTGAAGAAGGAAATGGCAAACCACTCTAGTGTCTTTGCCAAGAAAAACCTAAATGGGGTCATAAAGAGTCAGACACAATTACAACAACTGAATAACAATCAATAACAACAGTAACTGCTAGGCTGCCTTCCTTCACATTTTTTTCATGATTCACGTGACATTCTTGACCTTTTGTTCTTCCAGATGAATTTTTTTTAGCTCTATAAGGTAATTTTTAGTAGTTTAATTGGTACGATACTGAATGAATAAATTAATTTAGGTAGAATTGTCATTTTTATTATATTGGCTTGGCCTATTCATGAACAATGAATATTTCTCCAATATTTTACTCTGTGTCTATTTGTGTGAGAAATGTTCTATAATTGTGTTCATATAGTTCCTGGATTTGTCTTGACAGGTAGACTCCCAAGTATTTTATGTTGTCTACAGTTATTTGAAATGGAATTTC